ATCCTTTTATAAGGATTAAAACGGAAACGAAACTATACCATAAGAACGATTGCATTATTGATCTTTTGCGAAACAAGAACTGATTGCAATTTCGAAATGGTTCTTTCATATTCTTCCTTTAGAATTCCCCAAGTGTAGTAATCTTTACGTTGCTTTTTATCTGTGTTAGCAATGACTGCGTAAAATATTTGAGTTATTTCTGTCTTTATGAGAATTATCATTTATGCCGTTGCCTAGCGATGAATTATTTCCACTCCGCTTATCTAAAAGAGCTTTTTTCAACTGTAAAAAAGTCCAACAGAACTTAGTGCGATTCATTTCAGCTGAATTTATGTTTAGAAAAGTGTTAGAATTGTTTTTATAACTTAAAAGCACGATATCTTAAGTTAGTGCTGTTTGGAAGTTTATACAAGCATGAATAAATTTATTATATCGCTGAAATAGCATACCGCTGCTTTACACAACAATTACACTACAATGCTTGTGTGCCCTTGATATTTATTTTCACACAAGCGGAATTGTTCTTTTCTCTTTCTTTTGGGGAAAGGCAGTATTCAGTTTTTTTACTTTATTTTGAAGCATAAACCAAGTTATGGATAGAAGAAACTAGTATAAGTTGTATAATCTTCTGTAAGTAAAATTGTAATGTTTTGCAGTTTCCTCTTAATTTTATTTCACCTGCTTTGCACTAGGAAATCTATTTTCGAACAGTGATTTTCGGATAATATTTCACAAAATTCAGGCTTAAATTTGAGATTATAACAATAAACAGAATAATGCATTTCGGAGAACAAATGAAACATGTATGTCTTCTTCAGGAATTGAAAGTGTTCCGTAAGCGTAGTACTGTGAATTCATAAATTTAGTGGAAGGCTATATAGCTCCATCTAAGGGAAAAAAAAGAGTAAGCGAAAACCGGATTCATGATATTAAACCAATAAAAGCAGTTCTACGTTTACGACTTGATTTAAGGAAAATAAACTGAAAAACCTTGGTGTTTAGCTACTTAATAACTAATATGGTATGATTCCATGCACATCGAGCTTCAGCGAATTTCACAAATGACTCACAAATCCGAAGTGGCAGAATACCAATGTATATGATATAAATACTGTAATATTAATTTTAGTTATTTGAAACTCTAGTTTTTTGCTAGTACTGAAATTTAGTTCCCTTTTTAGTCATTATCACCGACAGCAATATGCAAGGACATCCACGAAATAAAAAGGAATTTTAGTGCTGTTCTGCTAAATGCACAAAATTTGTTCCTAAAATACTGGGAACTATTAACAAAAAAAGTATACTGCGATAAGCACATTTAAGCATGTGCTTATCGCAGTATACTAAAAAAAACAAAAAGAGAATATGAGCTACGTTCTATTCAAAAGTTAAAGCGTTATAAACTAAATTCTAGCGTTATGTTTAAAAGATAAAAATTTATTAATCAACAGTCAATTAATTTATTATATATTCAATGGCAATTTTGTGATACAGCAATTAACAGAAAATATTCCTAACGTATAAAAGTAACCAGACTTTTCACAAGTTATTGCAGAACAAGACAATTTCGGAGGGAACAGAGGATTTTTTTTCTTTTCTTTTGCTTTAAGCATACTGTTATTATTACAATAGCTAATACTTTTAGTTGGGTTTTCTCAGTTATTTACATTTCGCAGTGAAGAGATTTCTAAGGGATGTATACGGATTTCTAAGATATGTATAGAGACGTGATCGTCAGAAGAGATTTCACTTTATATTTATTATCGAAATACACAAACGGAGTTCAGTTATTAATGCTACAGATTTGAAACTAACATGATTATTATAATACTGGGAAAAGTGTTTAATTTTTCGGGTATTTCATATTTTTCTGAATATAATTTGTTATCACAAGTGATTCTTCATCAAAATAATGTTTTTCACAGAAGATTAGCTTTCTTCTACGTGTTTACTTTCAGCAATGTTTCAGGTCACTCATTTAAACTTTTTCCAGACGCTTCAATTTCCTTTTCCATTTTCCAAGTACGAAGAAAAATAGTAATATAATAGAATCCAAAAAAGAAATAGAATTTCTGGAAACTAGATTGTTTATTTTCATTTAAGAGGGAAATCGTTTGGAATCATTGGAACTATTTGGATGGTTTCACTGTAATATGTGGGCAATTAAACTCCAACTAAGGTAATGATTATTTCAAACAATACGATTATGTTTTTTTTTTTTTTTTTAGTCGTCGAAACTGTCTTATTTCTCTAACCTTCAGAAGAATATGGTCTCACTATCTCTATCTTAGGAAACAAGTGTAATAAATATATAAATATCAATTCAATTTTCATTAACCTTAAGAGAACTAGACAACAAAGTAAACAATTTGGAGCTTAAAATCAGAAACACATCAAACTGAAAATCAATCATATGTCATTAATTATGTATTTAATTATTCTATAGTTCATTTAAATAAATATCTTTTTAAAAATGACAGAATTATCATTTTATTTCATTTATTTTGCTTTATACTACCAGTTGCCCTTCCGATTGCATTAACCAGAATTTTATTGTACTGTTTTGCTTTCTATGTGAAATCACTTGCAATTTAATGTCTAAACAGTTAGTTAAAAAAAGATGATATAGTTATTGTTATTCTGGAGATAACTTTAAAAGCTTTTTTATTGCACTGTTTCTTTAGATGTCTTGAAAAATACTCCAGTGGAAGTATATTTTGATGTGTCCACAATACCCTTCGGCGGAATTGGAATTTTTGCTGCGTCCAAAATAGAAGAAAAAACTGTTATCGGCCCACTTCCGGGCCGTCTCGTCAATCCCTCAGACAAGATTATAGATGACGCCTGGGAAGTAAGAAAAATTTTAAGTCCTTAAAAAGATTTCTTTCTCCTAACTAACTGCATAAGCTTTCAACTAATCGATATTTTCGTTTTAAGTATTATACAGTTTCTTGAAACGTAATTTTTTTAATATTTTATTAGTTGCTCATAGTTATCTACTAAATAATATATTTAACTATATCAAATAATTGTCTTTATTAATAAGAAGAAAATTATGTGTTCATACTTAGTCAGAAATATAAAATTGTCTGCAATTATTTAGACTTCTTCAAAACCTGCACGCAAATTTTATTTCCCAAAAATTAGGAATTTCAGTAATCTGTGTATTTAATAATATCTGATTTCGTTCCTTAAATTGTGATTTAATTTCAAACTATTTCAATTTGAATTTTTCTATTAACACATGAAAATCATTCGTATTACATTTCACTTCAAGCAAAATTAGAATATCGTGAAAATGTAGGTAATAAAATGAATCCTAAAGTTTCTTGAATACGAATTGGAGTCCTAAAATTTCCTTAAAACTCTCGAATCCGTTCTGTTAAAATTAATAAGAAGAAAAAAGAAAAACATTTTTTAACCCTAAACGTCTCTACAGACATTAGTTATATTTTTGAAAGCAGGAGAAATGAAAAATGTGCAATGCACTCGCCTGGACTCAAACCTCGGACCTCTCGAACACGCGCCGAACGTGCTGACCGCTGCACCACGAAGGCATGCTAAGAAGCCGGGAGAAATACCTTATAAGATTTTTATTAAAGTAAAATTTGAAATCTACATTTAAATAAAACAAATTCAATGATACAGTATTTAAAAATATTTTTGTATTTATTGTGATATACAAATAAAGTTTAGCAAATGAAATACAAATTTATAATTGTTGGATCTTGACGGTTATTTTTAATGCATTTTGATAAAATAAATCTGAGTATTCAATCAAATTTTTCAAGCTTTTCTAGAATTCTTTTAAATAGAACAGGAAGGGGGGAAAGGATTATTTAGAAGTGAACAGAAATAAACATTAAAATGGAACGCTAAATTCTGCATTGAAAATAAAGAATATGGTACACCATTCAGCCATAAAATAATATAACTTATTACATCTACCAGTTTGAGTTTTCAATCCTACCAGAATGCACATGCGCATCTGTGGCATACCTGCATCCATGGAGAGCTAAGGTCGCAGTCACATTATGTTTCGGCTACGCGGGGCTTGACGTCGAAAGGGACAATTCTCAGAACCTGCACAATTCCAGGAAACACACGTAGCTAGGTTACCATTCTCACTTACTACAAAGACTTCAACGCCAAACAGTAAAGAGGTTATCATCACACATGGCCACAGTCCCTGCTAGACGGGACTTTTCTGAGAAACGAGATTCTGGTAGCACTGGTTTAAACGGGAGGATTCCTAGAAAAAAGAGCCCCACTGAAGCCGAGGTCCGCCTAGCTACGGAAGCAAAATCTTGAGGATACGCGGATTTTTCAAACCTCACCGAAAATGTATCGGGTCCCGGGTAGAGACAACCAGACGAAAGTTGTTCTGGAGGATCACGTGGTCCGATTTGAACGATAATCGATTAAACCCTTATCACACGGGCTACAGTCCCGGCTAGACGGGACTTTTGAGAACGAGATTCTGAGGCATGATTGAACCGGGGAAATTCCTAGAAAAAAGAAGCCGTGCCTGAAGCGAATCCCGCCTAGGGGAAGCGGTGTTGCGGCTACGGGATTTTTTTCAAAACCTGACCGAAAATGTCTCGGGTCCGGGTAGAGTCACAAAAGACGAAAGTTCTGCTTTGAAGGATCCGGGGAAATTCCAATATGGCGATGGCGGGAACAGTACGATCGTGGACGGTGGAAATAGAAGCCAATTTATAACGAATTCAAAGAAGCCACATTTAGGGATTAAAGATAAAGAGCTTGTGTTTCCTAAAGGAAAAAGTATAATCATCAGCGACAAAATAAAATATTTCTACAAAATGTCTTATAGAATTTATTTCAATAATATAGTTTAATGTTATATAACTTTCGCTTCTCATAAGTAATTTTGAATTTATACATTATCTTAATTAAATTGATAATTCTTCACACCAAGATATTTATATATTTAATACAAACAATTTTTTTAAAAAACATAATGCTAGTATTTTCGCGTTTTAAACTGATGGAAAATTATCATACAGTAAATCTGCCTTTATGCTACGTACACGAACAATCAGTTTTAGAAAAAAACGCAGAGGTACTAGAGGGAACAGCAAGAAAGGTAAGACTTTTTTATACTAATATTGTACAGTCGGAAATTTCAAGATTTATTTAAAGAGCCAAATTTCAAGAAAAATATTTCTTAATACCTTTATCATTACCACAGACACTTTATCATTACAATTTTGTCAAAGATAAATTCAAAGGCAATAATTCTCACGATTGTTTTGGTTTTAACATTTATAAATTCTTTTTCTATTTATAGGAAATTTGAAATTTATTACTTACGAATTTCAATTTTGGGGATTTGTGAAAAATTGCTTCTAAATTTCTTAGCTTATGTTTTTGTGATATTTTTCTGCAGCTTAATGCAGAAAGTGCTAGATATGAGTACATTACATTTTAAAAAATTGTATTGTAATTAAATATAATTAAATCTAATAATTCTTATAACAATATATATATATATATTAATAGCTAGGTATTGAATGACATGCAGATATATAAATTACCTCACCTGTGGCCAAACGCTAAGAGTGGCAGCTAATTTTTTCTGGTGGAATTGCTTCTCTAAATCTGGTATTATTTTTTGGCAATTTGGCTAGATATGCTATTGTGTAAAATCAAATGCACAGATATCCATGCAATCTATCGTCGATATCCCTCTGAACCTAAAAATATATGCAACTTTTAGATAGCAAAATAAGATATCAAGAAAGTTATTATAATAAAGTACTGGAATAATTTAATTTTGTGGCATTAAATGCAGAGGCCCATGTAGATGGAGTGCAAGCTTTGCTTAAATTTTTAAATCATAAACAACCAGAGTATTGATTGAAAACATTAAATTTCATTCAAACATATGTAACATTAAGTATTTTATGTCATAACAGCCATTGGGATAATTACTATATATAAACTTAATTTTAAACTATAAGCAAATTGGTATAAAAACATACAGTTGAAACTTAAACACCCAACACCGCATACACATATTATACACACACCAAGTATTTAAATTCATAAGTTCACAGAAACAAATATATGCACAGAATTACGTGTTTTTTCAAACTTAAAATTTCGATTTAATCTGGTTAATAGAACATTTTATTAAAAAATGTTAATTACATAGCAATTATATTAGAATTTATTATAATCTTGAAAAATGATTGCTTAGTACAAAACATTTTGAATTAGATTAATAAAAGAAAGTTCATAATATGAAATTATTAAAACGTTTAACAAATAGTAAATGAAATAGAAGTTTATAAAGGGTGAAAAATAAATAAATATTCTTATCGCCCAGTGCTAACTCTCTTGAGCAACACTGCTTCACGTCTTGCTGCACGTTTTCTCCTTTAGCTTTCAGAATCGCCAGTGTCGAATCAAAGTGATCAACTTAATAGCCACACCTTTTATTATCTTAAATAACAAAAAAGTTTAAAATGTCACAAAGAAATTACTGAAATGCTTCCGTAACAGCGATACAGCATGGAATTTGAAAACAAACGTCTCTTTCGCCAATCTGAGCGATAATCGGTTAGTTTTGTGTTCAAGGTCTGTTTAGTAAGTGAAAATGGTAGCTTAGTTACGTAGGTTTTTGCGGGAATGCGGGTTCCAAGAAATGTCCCGTTTGACGTTCAGTCCCGCCTAGCCGAAACATAATGTGCAAAAAGCTCATTACTTGCTTTAGTGTAGATCACACAGTTACGGACCACCATTCTTTTTGTTCCTTTTATTTTACATTATGTTACCTTATCGTTAAATTTAATGAATGTTCTGTTTATTGTCACAGAGTCTCGTTCCCTCGATTATTATACTTCTAGGTTCAAGCATACGACCACAAAGTATTTGCTTAACTAACCTTAGAAATTTAAATTCTTGATTTAATTCACCTCATTCTTTAATTCGCAGATTAATAAGCTTCAGGATCACTTTGGGACACTTCACTTTTATGCAAATGAAATAATAGCTAATCATTGGCTTCATAAAAGCGCAATAGTTTCGTGACCCATCAGGCAGTACTTAACAATAAAATGGCCATTTTGACTAAATGTAAGGAGTAAATATAGGATTCTCAATAGGTGGATGTCTTGATAGTGATATAAACATGTTGAAATGTTTGCAAAATACAGTTCCAGACATTGAAAATAGTCCGAAATTTAACTTTATAACTCTCATCATGAAAGCCTACAATTTTTATGAATTCCCGCTTGAGCAATAAACACTCACTGCTCACATGGAATTTAAACCGAAGACCACCTGCTTCCTACCCATACATGCTTTTAACAAATGAACGAACTGCAACAGATTTCGGAAAACTAATATTTGGAAAGAGATTCGAAATTTTCGGCCTTAAGAATGCACTCTGAAAGACGTTAACGCTGTTAAGTGTATAATTTGATTTTAAAATTTAAGAACTGCTTCATTTTACTTAGAAAACGTTTTTGGCATGTTTTATCCATTAATCTTCGAAAACATAGTGTAAAAACTTCAATCGAAATTTTTAGTCAGCTCAAAAGTATTTGCTTCCTCACTTCCATTATGATGATATCTTTCAATGCTGAATATCAGCATTTACTTATGTTCTACCGGAAAAAATGTTAATATCTTGAAATAACATTTTGAAAATTCTGTTTCGTACACTATGAAGCTGGAGAATTTTTTCTTTGCTAAATTTGATCTAAATCAGATTTATTTTCTAATTCAAATACATCTCCAAATGATGAAGAACTGTGAGAAAAAACCCCAATCCTATACGTACTGCTTTTTATTCATAATTACGATTTATTTTAAAAGAGAATT